CGGCTCTATCCAAAATAGCGTCCGTATAGAAATAATCCTTTTCTCGTGTCTCTAAATAATCAAACTTCGAAGCAAGCGCAGTTGTTAATTTTCCTTCATAGACCTACTGTCTATTGGATCACTAAGACGGATTATTTAAAAAATGGGAATGTATCCATTTGGATACATCCGGCCACTAAGGGACAAAAATTTTGAAAAAGTCATTTCTTTTTGTCCAGCAAAATTTGATATTTTATGGTTTTTCTTACATCTATATTTGTAGATGAAATCATATGTTGCCTGTTTGTCGATGTTTTGCAGTCCAAAGCTTAAATATTTCTCGAATGTTCTAAGGTTCTGCAGTATAGTGCAATACTAGCTCAATTTTTGTTCGAAAATTTCTATAAATTCAGGAATATTGTAGAGAGTTGCTGAATATTTCGTGATAGCCTAGTTTGTAACACTAGAAAATGTTCAGAAACTCTTTAGAATGTTTCTGAATGTCTAAAACTTTTCGGAAAAAATTGAGCTACTATTGCACTATACTGCAGAATCTTAGAACATTCGAGAAATATTTAAGCTTTGAACTGCAAAACATCTACAAATATAGATGTAAGAAAAACCATAAAATATCAAATTTTGCCGGACAAAAAGAAATGACTTTTTCAAAATTTTTGTCCCTTAGTGGCCGGATGTATCTAAATGGATACATGAAGCCATTAGATGCCGAAGCACTTATTGGTTCTGAGAAATAAACTTTTCCTATCTCCATGGTCTAGGAGCAACGAAAATCCATAGAAAGACTTTTTTGTTACTTGTCTTCTAGTAGCCGGCTGGAAAGGACTAGACGTATGTTTTGTGAAACACAATCTAAAAAGAATATTGAAGTATAGGGAAAAAAAACTTGAACTATCTCTCCATAGATTATATATTATTGATATACAATTTACTGTCTTATTGCATTTATGGAGAATTAAGTAAAAGAAGGTTGTGTCTCAAATAGAGATGTATAAGATTAACTTTAGTTCCGATCCTAATGATTGAACCCGAGATTACGAGAAAAAATTGTCTCAATCAAAACTAAAGATTATAGTTAAATATTCTATGGTTTTTTTGTTTAACGATTTATCATATTAATCAGAACATAACTCAAGAAAGATGACCCTGAAAAAAAAATGGTAATCATTGACTACAAGTATTGAAGAATTTTCCTAAATTTTTTATACAAATAAAATTCGGGAAAATTTTTCTCTAAACCGAAATTACTAGAAAAGAAGTCAGCGGAATCGAAATCAAAACAAAAAATCGTGTCTCCGCATGTCTCTAACCTCAAAATAGATACAATAAAATAATCGTCCTACGATTAACAACAGCTGTTACATTGTATTTCACACTTTTCATCTCGCAGAGATTGTATTAACAGGTTTTTTAAGAAAAAAAAAATAATTAGAAGTTTTATCTTGAGCAAGCTGAATTCTTGTCTTCTTATTCTAATCAATATGAAATCTTTATCTTCTTAAACAGATTATCTCGAATAGATTTTTTCTTTAAGGTATGGCTGTTGATGTATTACTTGATTTAAGTGCTGGTCTTGCGCCATCAAATAAGATTCAACAAAAGTTTGTTTATTAATTTTAAAAAAAAAAGAGAATTTATTTTATTTCTTTTTTTGTTTGTTTGTTTGTTTTCTAGACAATCAACATCACATTCAATACTTTT